GCCGGTGAGGCCGAGGAGGATGGCGGACTTCATGGCGTTGACGATGGTGAGGCGATCAGGGGGCGGACAAGCTCGGGAGGCACCGGACTGAGGATCGAGTGATCGATCTTGTCAAACCTGCTGTCTGAACGTTTCGAAGACGAGGATCCATGAGGCCCTTTTATGCTTAGTGGGCTTCGACGACATCTCGAATGCCTCACGAGAATGCCTCACGAGATACGCATCTTTGAGCTTCCCTTTCAGAATGTAAACGCCGGATGCTACACTCTCGATAGTCGACTGGAAACACTTCACCTCGATCAAAAGCCCGCGGCATCACGGCCATCACGAATATCCCGCCGAACGTGAGAAATCACGCAAAGACAGAAGACAAACCGAGCAAAGAGGAAGGTGTTTTCTGCCTCCTCAACATCCAAGAGCTCTCCTTTGAGAACTTTTGCAATTTTACGAGATATCTGCATCGCCAAGGCCCCTTGGACCGCAACAAAAAGCCCCAACGCCAATGGCATGGCAACTTTCTCATGCCATCCGCAGGAGCAGGCGGGGGAGGGGAAAGGGAGCAAAGCAAATGAGCAGCAGCGGCGAAGACGGAATATCACCCACGACATTCGCCAATCGCAGGCAGGGCCTTATCGATGAATGATGATCATACGCACTAAGGCCGCTCACTGGCGGTTCTTGAACGAAAGCCTCGAGCGATGTAACTGCGTCTATCTCCACGCCATGGGATGCCGTGCAAACAGAAGTTCGTCACCTGCTTTGCTTGCAACCAAACAGATGCCTTCATTGTCTTCAAACTTACTCTATAGGATCCTGGATTCCTGATGCTAGTATGAGACTATGCCGAGATGCTCAGCGGCTCCAGTCGGCATCTCTGCACTTTCCTATCCAGCTTCTCTCTCTGGCTTAGGCTCTTGATCCCTCAACCCACTCAGAATCCGTCGGACAATTTGCCCTCGGAGAGGAGAATGGAAGACCCCCAACTTTAAAACAAAGTACACGTTAAGCTTATTATTGTCAGAGTGGGCGCTTCTCTCCACGAACAAACAACCGCATGAACGTTCGTCTTTCTCTTGCTCTCTTGGGACAAGGCAGTTTTCGCTTAGGCAAAACACCCGCATTATCTCTGTCCTCGTGAGAAAACAGAGCAAGGAAGGGAAATCCATGAAAGCGGCGCTCGTCGCGGTCGAGATTCGGGTTGTAGTGCTAATCCATAGGGACCTGCCAGATCGGGGAGGGGATTCCGGGGTTGCGTTCCGATCGGCTGCGATGATGCCATTCGCCGAATTACTGTCGAGGGGCAGGGGGAAGAAAGATTCCTATTGTGAGTGCCGGGGTTTTGAGTTCTTTTTTTTTGCTCTGAGGAAAAGAAGCTTAAGTTGCTATCTTTCTACTCTAAATGTGAAGTTTCTGTGGGGATATGGATATAGTATGAAGATAGGCGGCAAAACAGCGTCTGAGGGACGGCTGTTGTTGTCGTGTGATAACGACGGGATGCACGACTGCTCACCTCGATGCTCAAGTTCACTCCTGAAGTGAGAGAGATAGATTGTCTAATTAAATCATTATTTGAATCACTTGGCGTGCCAATTCAGATAGATAGCAAACCACACACGACCTTCTCAATGAACCCATCCTTGGATTAAGGGTGGTTGAGAGGTGGGAAGTGGTGCAAATACCGAAGAACTGCGGCGATATGAGTTGACCCGAACCCAACGGACTTTGCTTGCAATGCCACCGTTTCATTATCTATATCAGAGCATCTTTAGGGGTCGCAAGGTGTTATTCTGATGCTACATATCATGAGGGGAGGGGATGCAAACCCTTGGCTTGAGATATGTCTGTTCTGATATGGGGGGTTATTGGCAACGGTACAGCACGGCACTGTATACGAGCGCCTAGCCACGGTATTTTGATACTTGCCAACTATTTTTGGATATTGACCATTTGGGAAGCGGGATGCGTAAGGATGTGTCACGGACTTGGTAAATATCATGAATAAAGCGGAGTTTATGGACGCAAATCCCTTGGAAATGGCGGAATGCTACATTCACGATCGTTGTGGTTGTTCTCGGGAAGATGCCATAGCCGCTTAGGAAGCAACAATTCATCCGACTGGCCGAGATCTATCGAAGTTGAAGGGTTGCCCAGTGGCTTCTTGCTATAAAATGGAACAGGTGTTGAGAAGATGGTGAATTAATCTGTAGATAATGGGGCAAGACGGATGGAATTTGCGAGTGTAGGGTAGTAGGCGGATGAACTGGCGAGGAAGACGTGCACGAGACTGAGATATCGTGATCACAACTGGGGCTGTTGACGCAGAAATATGATATCAGCTATGCGTAGGAACTCTCATAGGTTGCAATGCAAGACAAACTCGGCGGGTTATGAGCTGTTCTCGCTCATGAACCAAGATCGATATACGACTGCTGTCTGATAAGTCAGTGGTAGTTGTCTTAACACTATTAATCTTGCTCACTTGTCATCCCAAGTGCTACGTCCGGGTTCGTTTTTGTTTCACTTCCTAATTTGAGCTGTATACGGAGTACTTACATGCACATTAGATCCTGAGTGAATCGGACAGACCCTGCAGACTTACGGATCACTCCGACCACTTACAGTCCCTCTCTCATGTTGATGTAATCCTCTCACTGTCTCACATCAAGTTTTGATACTCATCTACTCACCTTACTCACCCATCAACTGAAGCTGCAAATTCTCCTTTCTTAGGAAAATAGTCCGTTACTGTAAGTCGTCACCAGTAAGGGGCAAATGGCCGTTTCCGGCGAACGTCAAGAGTGGCGCATCTGGAGGAGCCGGAACAGGAATGGCCCATGAAGAAGCTGTTCACCTCGCTTTACATACACTGACCCCAGTGGCATCTATTGAATGAGATGAATGAGATGCCCGATTTATTCTCGCAGTGATTGTGCAGATCGAGCGGCTTGTTCAGTATTGGGGAGATGGTCATCATGATGGCCAGAGGAAGATGACCGAAAAGTGTGTGAACATGCGGATGCGGCGCCTGAAGAGGCCTGAACTTTGGTGATTCCAAAGTATATTTTCGTAGAGCATCATCATATGCCTCAATTTGTGGTTCGGTCTTGGTGGAAAACTGACCACAGGAGCTCGTCATGATACAAGCGGCTCAAAGATGAGCATCACAGAGCACACAACCAAAAGTAGAAGGCGACATTGTCGGACGGACGCATCGGAAATAAGCCAGTAATTCTCGAGATTTCCATGATCTCATCAGCCGTCGACGGACATCGACAAGGCCGCAAAACAGCCTTCCTCACATCCCACAATCGAGGCACTTCTATTTATATATGTCATCGGGTTCCGACGGTTCACATACAGGTAGTAAGTGAACATCACTTCTACACAGAGCAGGTTAGCGTCCGCTTTCGGCCTGATGATCTTTCCAGCTCCAGAGGTATCCAGAGAAAGGTGAGACGAGTTGGTCCTGCTGACTGAGAGGATTCAGTCCGGAAACGGCCAACAACATAATCTGGAACCTGCCCGACGTTGAACTTGCGTAAGGTTTGAGTTTGGCTTCGGCGGCACCTCGAAGCCCAAGGCCAGCCACGTCAAAGCCACGTCAGCTCATTGGCTACAGCGAGCAGAGCAGAGAGGCCGAAGAAGTTCTGGGGAAAACAGAGAGGGAAACACGAGCAGCTCGAGAAGTGGCCCATTGGAGTTCCACATTCCCGAGCCTTCCTCTTTAACCGCTACAGTAGGTAGACACCATACTGGATTGTCCGTAGATTGAATCATGGCCTCATCGGCAAGCCGGAAGGGTGAGGACCTGCGCTAGTGCCGAGCAGATCGTGTGAGATCGGCGCCGCCTGAACGAATCTCCTTCACTCGTCGGCCTGTCGATGGAGATTCCGATGCGCCAAAAGTTCGCGCTCTTTCAATCGAGCGATCCAGTTGTCACCCAGCTGCATCATCTGTGACCCACCCGTTCGAGGAGGGGACGGTTGAAAGCGCTGCTGAACGTTGTCCATGAACGAATAATCGATGAAAGCATGTTCAATAAAGCGGGCGCAAGGATGGTCGTCTGCGAAGCTCTTGTCCATTGAGGTTGTTGCGTCTTTTCGAGGGCACAAAAAGTGATAGACTGAAACATGACGCCTCACCCCATCTTCGGTCGAGAGCTATAGCAATTCCGCCTCGTGTTCGATTTAACCGGAAACCTTCTCTCGCTAGCTGTTTTACTGGCCGTCGTATATGCAGGAATTGCGCAGATGGCTGCCTGCTAGTGTCGATTGTATGGAGGTAGCAGTCGCTTGCACGTCCACAGTCTCGCTTCTCACGTCTCTGGACGGTATCCCAACATGTGAACGCCGCCCAACCTCTTCGATCGGAGTAGTTGGCTTATATCTGAGTCTCCCGTAATGGCGCGTTCCTGAGGCCGTCTTTACCGTGTTGAGCATGTACCCAGTTAGCAAATACTAGTTGCAAGATCGAAGCTGCAGCTGATGCTGATCCCCGACAAGGCCAACAGAGCAGCAATTCGCTGTCCCAAGAGCAGGTTGATCAGTTGCGATGTCATACACTGGACATCTGACATCACAACCTCTAATTCACCGCTTCAACTTCTCCAAGAGTCGCATACGGGTGGATCGACGCCCACAATTTGGGTTTCGCCAGCTCTCGACGCTATGTGATGGCACGGCTCCGTGGCTTGCCAACTTGCCTCATCGGCCATCGAAGCAAGTCGATCGACAGGCCGACGTTCCTGAAGCGAATGGGCCGTAATGGCATCTTGGCCTGGAGAGCGAGTATATGAACCCAGACGTCTTCCCGGCCCTCCGAGCGTTGCTCGTTACTGTTTTTTCCGTCATTCCAAAGGACAGTCGGACAATCGTTTCTTGCTTATATAGCAAGTCTCTCGTTCTAAAACAAAAGACACTACCAACCACGGTCAGCATAACTTCCTCAAGGCGATTCATTACCATCAAGACTTACAACTAACAGTCACTTCAACAGCTACCATGCAGCCTTACGTTTTTCTCGCCCTCCTGGGGTCGGTAGCGGTCGATGCCGCCCTTGCCCCTCGTGCTGACTGTGCTCCATCGTTCAATGGACAGTTCCAGGTCACTGTTGCCAAGACTAACAAGCGAGACCTTGAAGTCAGTTCCATACCCATCGGTGTCTTCTACTCACCTGACTGTACCATACTGACATGTCCCATAGAAGCGAGACTGCAGCAACCCGAACGCCTTGCTGCTGACGCTGAACAACGGAATTCTGAAGGATGCCAAGGGCCGCACCGGCTATATCGCATCCAACTTCCAGTGGCAGTTCGACAACCCCCCTCAGGCTAATGCTCTCGTCACATCTGGCTTCTCCGCTTGCGACAATGCGCTGGGGCTCAAGGGTTCAACCACCTTCTGGCAATGCCTCTCAGGCGACTTCTATAACCTGTACGACCGTAACTGGGCACCCCAGTGCCAGCCGGTAGAGCTCGTCATCCTGCCTTGCGGCGGCAGCAGCGCTGGACACAGCAACAAGGGCAGCGGGGCCGAGGGTGGCAGTGGTGGCAGTGGTGCCAGCGGCGTCAACCAAGCTGTCACCGCCATCTCCGACGGCCAGCCGCAAGCCCCCATCTCTCAGAAGACTGATGGCCAGCCCCAGGTGCCTCCGGTCACTCAGATCAGCGACGGCCAGCCTCAAGGCCCGACTGGCTCTCCCGCTCCTCCCGTCACTCAGATTAGTGACGGCCAGCCTCAAGGCCCGACTGGCTCTCCCGCTCCTCCCGTTACCCAGATTAGTGACGGCCAGCCTCAAGGCCCAACTGGATCACCCGCTCCCCCTGTCACCCAGATCAGCGATGGCCAGCCTCAAGGCCCAACTGGATCACCTGCTCCTCCTGTTACCCAGATCAGCGATGGACAGCCTCAGGTCCCAACCGGGTCTGCTAAGCCCCCCGTCGTCACTCAGATCAGTGAGGGACAGCCCCAGGCTCCCACAGCTTCTCCCCAGCCTGAAGCGCCTCCCGTCACCCAGATCCACGATGGCCAGCCGCAGGCCCCTGTTGGCACTGGCACCGGTGTTCCAAGCAGCCCTTCTTTTGCGCCTACTCAGCCTCCCATCAGCGGCAGCTCCAAGGTCATTCCCGGCCTTTCGGTTGCCGTTGCTGTTGCGCTGGTTGGCATGGTTGCCTTGTAAACAGGCGATCAAACAAACAAGGCGTTAACCGGCTCGACGCGTCGCTTCCTGATTTTCTTTATCATTGGGGATGCCATCCCCAACAGTCACTAGAACACGAATAAAAGACTGCCTGAACCATGATCGACACTGTCATTTGTGCCTCTATTTTCACCGTCTTCGATGAGTTGTTGACCGTTTAGCTGGTGGTGTTGCAACCTGATAGTTTGCAATACTGTAGAAAACGGAGGGCGATTGGTTCGCTAGAAGGGGAGTTTGGTTTTCTCGAGTTGTTTGCTTAATCACAAGTACACGGACGTGCTTCGAGACGGATCATCGGGTAATGGACGAGGTCAATGACTGTCCGACCGACTTGGTGAGCATAGAAGCTTGCCATGGAAGGATGGAGTGGCGCGGCTCATTGAGTTTGGTTATTTGCTTTGCTTCGGGTTGATATAATAAGTTGTAATTCAATTGAGGCAGGGCTTTTTCTTTACAAAGCAGTGTCAGATCGAAACCGCGATTGTGAAGTATCGACAGCCTTCTCACAGCTGTCGAAGTGAGAACAATGTCTGGATCGTGACGCAAGTTTGAGTGGTGGGAAGAAGTCGCCATTGAAGATTACGTAATCACACCCATCGTTGCGCCTTCCGCAATTGAAGCTTACCTGACTAGGTACGCTGCCACGCATTTCTGCTTCATTCACGACTCTCTCACATGACAATCTTCATCACCCTCCCACAAAGACCCCCCCCAGATCACAATGTCGGAATACTGGAAATCTACGCCCAAATACTGGTGCAAGCACTGCTCGGTATACGTGCGCGACACGAAACTCGAGCGCGCAAACCATGAAGCCACAGCAAAGCACCAAGGCGCCCTCAAGCGCTCGCTACGGGACCTGCACCGCAACCACGAGAGGGAAGAGCGCGAGAAGGAGAGGGCGCGACGAGAAATTGACAGACTCAATGGCGTTGTCAGCGGATCGTCGTCTGGCTCCTCAGCCGCGCCGGCCAAGGCAGCAGCACCCACAGAGGCTCATCTGAAATCACAGCGCGAGCAGCTGGCTGCGCTGGGGGTTGCGATTCCGACTGATTTCCGGCCCGAGATGGCTATGCCTGGCGAGTGGACAGTTACAAAGACGACCATAATCGAAGAGAGACCGGAAGGGGACGGTGAAACTCCGATCGAGGCCAGGGCAACGGGCGTCAGGAAGCGTGAAGAGACAGAAGAGCAGAAGGAGGAAGAAGAAGCAGTGCGAGGACTTTTCAAGAGGCCGAGACGATGGGGTCGCGACTCCAAGACTATGCCGGACGACGAAGACCAAGACCTAGATGCGCTTCTGAGCGCTGCGGTGCCGTTAAAGACTGAAGCCAACGGTGACAAGGACGCAGTGAAGAAGGAGGAAGATGCTGAAGATAGCGACTCTGCCAAGGTGAAGATACTGAAAGAGGAGGACCTTGCTATCAAGTCAGAACTTGACGCCGAGTTGCAAAACCAGGAGCCGCCTGTTCATCGAGATGCAGTTGTCAAGGCGGAAGAGACAGAACAGCCGAGCGGGATCACGCCGGTGGTTTTCAAGAAGCGCAAACCAAAGGGAATCCGCAGCAAGTGAGCGAAATCAACACTTGGCTGCATCACAGCTGGAGGCCACTTAGCAGCTCAGATGGACTCGGTGCTTTCTACCGGCAAGGTCTAGCAAGGCTGCGATGCCCTTTCCGTCATTTTCGTCCGCTTGGAGGCAGCAAACGGAGTAGCTAGTGCAGGTCAATTGCTGCTGGCTGATTAATCGCGACGGCTTTGAGTCCCGATGGATCTCAATGAGGACAACGGCGGTATGCCGAGATAGCCGCTTGATGGCCCTCCCTGGTCCGGATTTAGCGATAATTCCTTTTCTGTGCACGGGTTTGATACCTAAACCACGCCGACGAAGAAAGATGTGCTCGGTTGCAAACCCGAGGATGGTCTCAGTTGTTCGAGTGAGCCCAGACTCTTCTAGAAGCTGCGATAACAACTTGCGCGCGAAGCAGCCTGGCGTCGGCTTTTGGGCTCCCTTTTGCCGGCCTTTTCCCCCTTCCCTTTAACTCCTTGAACCCCGTCATCATGGAGCTCGACAGAATTGCGTCACGACGCATGGATTGATTGCCTGCCATTTCTCCGCTGGCGGCTCCCCCACCAAGCAACTCGGGGAACTTTGCGACAGCTTCGAATATCTGACAAAGCGCGCTATTTTATTTTGTCCACCTACCTACCTTACTTAAATCAAACAACTTTCTCTTCATTCATAGCAATCGTCGAGTCAATTGGAGATACTGTTGAATATAGCAAATATGGCTTCTAACCCTCCTGCCAAATGCTGCACTGTCGGCACCCTTCACGAGTGAGTTTTTGACTTTTTACTTGTTTACTCTTGGCCTTGTCCAGATCTCAATTACACTTGCCCCGCATAGAGAGGAAGAGAGAGACAGAGACGGGGACACAGCACATTCGCAAATCGAATTGATGATGAATTCGGCACCAATTCCTCGACGTTTTGCTAACTGCTTGCTTCAGGGGTGAGCCCAAGGGAAAGGACATCAAAATCGAGGGCAACATTGACGCCTACCTGGCCACTCCTCCCGCCGACAAGGCTCGCGAGGGCAAGGGCATCCTCTTCATCCCCGATGTCATTGGCATCTGGCAGAACAGCAAGCTGCTGGCCGACAACTTCGCCGCCCAGGGCTACACCGTCCTGCTGCCGGACATCTTCAACGGCGATGCTCTTGAGCTAAACCGGCCCGACGGCTTTGACTTCATGACGTGGATCACCAAGGGCTCGACCGGTGACAACCCTCACACCCCCCCGGCAGTTGATCCCATTATTGTCAATGGCATCAAGGCGCTGCGTGATCTGGGCATCAAGAAGATCGGTGCCGTTGGCTACTGCTTCGGCGCAAAGGTGAGCAGAACATCCAAAGAATAAGATGTGTAGCTTCAGAAGTAGCCTCGTACTAACGCACGTTCGCAGTACGTCGTCCGCCACTACAAGGACGGAATCGACGTCGGCTACGTGGCCCACCCAACCATGGTAGAGGAGGACGAGCTCGCTGCCATCACCGGCCCTCTGTCCATTGCCGCTGCCCAGACGGACTCCATCTTCCCCGCAGAGAAGCGTCACAAGTCAGAGGAGATCCTGATCAAGACGGGCCAGCCCTTCCAGATCAACCTGTACTCTCACGTCGTGCACGGCTTCGCGGTGCGCTGCGATGTCAACGTCAAGGTGGAGAAGTTTGCCAAGGAGCAGGCCTTTTTGCAGGCTGTCACTTGGTTCAACGAGCACCTGTAAGGGTGGGATGCTGAGGAGGAGCAGAAAAGTCTTTATACGCGCTCGATTAGTAGTGTAGTGCTGCATATAGCAAGATATTATTAAACTTTACGTCTGCTTCCTCGAAGTCATCATGAGTTGTGCATTGAGTGCTGCGTACAGTAGGCCTTCAAGGTGTCGCTCACTTTGATACTGTTGCAATCCTTGTCTTCTATCCTACATCATACTTGGCGGATCGTTCCCACCATCTATATGCGACCACGCATTTCCCACCTCCTGATGGACAAGATCTAGAGAGGCATCACTTGCTTTTTGACTACCTCCAGCTACCTTATCGACAACCTTCTCTACCTAGGTATGTCGTCTCCTGCATTTACACATTTAGCGGCTCATGTCTCGCCCAAGCCGGGCATGACTTAGCGCCTGGACCACCTGTGGCAGCGGCCCCCCACAGCGCCTCGGCTCCCCAGCCCGCAAGCCACTTTAGGCCACATGCACCTCAACTTCCCAACGTCCAACATCACCTGCATCCACCTTTTCTCTACAACCTCGCATAGCCACAGGGAGTGCGTGCGTGTCTCTCTCCAGCCTTCCACCGTCAATATTCGAGCGCCATGCTCGTATGGACGCTGACACGCCTCGACTATCAGCAACAGCAGCAGAAGAAGCAGCATGATCAACTAGGTCATCCGCCGGGATGGCAGTGACCGCAGACCCGATCAGCTCAATGGCCTTTTCGGCGGCGTCGTCGAGGAAGAACTCGTCCACCAGCCTGGCCGGGCATCACGAGACGTGGGGAGATGAGAATGCACCGCCATTACTCGACGAGGATGGGGGTAAAGGAGGCAGCGGGAGCAGCGGGCGTGAGAACGGGATTGTGCACGCAAACGGGAACGGGAACGAGCAGGACCATGAAATCAGGCACAGACATGGACTGTCAAACGGAAGTGCGAATGCCAGCGGCCCTGCGAACAGCAATGGCAATGTGAATGGCAATAAGAACCCTCCCGCCGTCAGCCAGAGGTCGACCTCGAGCAGCCGCCGGCAGAAAGACGCCGACACACACCGGCAGCGCAGCAACAGCGGCCTCATCAGACGAGCCCCGAGCAACGACAACGTGCCCAAGCTGACGGCCGCCGAGATCCAGCAGCTGGCGAACGAGCCCAAGTCGCTGCCCATCGCTCCAGCGCCAGATCCCCCGGGCAAGAACGCCATCGACGAGCGTGAGGCGATCCGACAGGCGCTGATGAAGCCGCCAGACCTGCAGCGCGCAGACGAGGCATTCCACCATCCCAATGGCATCGCGGTGCTGTCCAGGGATGCCCGCACGCCCATGCGCCGCTCCGTGTCTGCCTCTAGAACGGTCTCGACACCGCCGACGAGCCGCAGCGGCCAGATGCTGCCTCCCCCGTCCCCCCGGCGGCTGTCCTTTGGACCATCAGGGCCGCAGGGGCTACAGATGAATTTCGACGGCGCAAATGGGGCCGTACCACCGCCGTCCATCATGACCGGGCCGCCGGCCTTTGCGACGCAGCAGCCCATTCAGCCTCCCAGCTCCGGCGTTCGCCCTCCATCACCGATTCCGCCCATTATCCCGCTTCCTCCCATGTCGATTCCCACCCATCTCCAGCTGGAACTGGCCCAACAGCGTCCAAGTCCTCTCTATATCCACCAGTCCTACACCAACGACATTCCATACGAGTCCCACGCCGTCAAGTTTGAGCGTCTCAAGAATGTTCTCTTGATCCCCCCCTTCCTGGAGCGCACGCTCTATTTTGGTGCCCTCGCGTGTCTGGATGCTTGGCTGCACACATTTACCATTCTTCCAATTCGATTTACCATGGCGCTGACCGTGCTGGTGCGGTGGTGGATCTACGTCATCTTCAAGGAAGTCAAGTGGCTGGTCGGCTTTGTCTGGTACGGACTCGGTAGGGTATGGAGACGGGCGCGAGCAGTTCGTGGCCGCAGAATGAGCGACGTCTCTGACAGCGGCCGATCGCGAAGCTGCAGTAGGGCTAGCGAAGCTTCTGTCGACGGCGCATCGCCCGGCATCCGGCACCGGCCAAATGGGATCCGGGCAGATTCTCGGGTCCGGGCCGCCGGTGGTGATGCTACTACGCCTAAGACGCCATCACATCCGGCCCGTCGCGCTGGACCAAAGCCCGGCTCGTTCCGCCATCGACGCACCAAGTCGATGCCGTCCAACCTCTCGACGTTTCACAAGGCCGACCTACTGCAGGGCGCCGTCATCATATGCAGCTCGCTGGTGCTGATGAAGCTTGACGCCAGCAGGATGTATCACTTGATCCGCGCCCAGTCGGCCATCAAGCTATATGTCGTCTACAACATCCTCGAGGTCGGAGACAAGTTGCTTTCTGCGCTGGGCCAGGACATCCTCGAGTGTCTGTTCAGCTCCGAAACGCTGTCTCGCAACTCATCCGGCCGGTCCAAGGTGCTGCTACCCCTGGGCATGTTTGTGCTCGCCCTGATATACTGCGTCCTTCATTCCATCGCCCTGTACTATCAAGTCATCACCCTCAACGTGGCCGTCAACTCGTACTCCAACGCCCTCCTCACCCTCCTCCTGTCCAACCAGTTTGTCGAGATCAAGAGCACAGTATTCAAGCGCTTCGAAAAGGACAGCCTCTTCCAGCTGACCTGCGCGGACATTGTGGAGCGCTTCCACCTCTGGATCATGCTGCTCATCATCGGCATGCGCAACATTGTCGAGGTTGGCGGCCTTTCGGTTCCGGGCGCCGGTATGAACGACGATCCCACCAAGGCTGCGCCCATGCACTCGCCCAGCATCCTCCCGCACAGCTTCACGGTCCTGCCGTCTTGGGTCATGTCGGGAGAGGTCCTGTCGCCGTTCCTCATTGTTGTTGGCAGCGAGATGCTGGTGGACACCATCAAGCATGCGTACGTGACCAAGTTCAACAACATGAAGCCCAAGTTTTACAGCCGAATCCTCGACATTCTGTGCAAGGATTACTACACCAACGTAAGCCAAAGCCCCTCCTTTGATTCCATCTTACACCACAATCGCTAACTACTCCAAAGGCCTTTACAACTCCTGCCCTCACTAGAAGACTCGGCCTCGCCGTGATCCCCCTATCCTGCCTCTTCATCCGCGCCTCCATCCAGACCTACCACATGCTCCTCTCCGCCCACGTCCCCATGCCCCTCCCCATATCCACGCAGACCTCCCTCACCGAAGCCTCCGCCACGCCCTCCTCCCCTGCCATGATCGCCGCCCTCAACCGCTTCGACACCCTCATCCGCGACTCCCTCGGCCGCGCCACCTACGGCTATCCCTACGACCACCCTCTGAATTCTCGTCCGTGGTACCAATGGACTTCAGACGACGTCATCGCAGCCGTAACCATGGTCGTCGTCTTCTTCATCATCTTCCTCGTCCTCCTCATCATCAAACTCCTCCTAGGCATGGTCCTGCTCAAGTACGCGCGCAACCGCTACGCAAAGATGAAGCAAAAGGAAGCCCTCGTGGCGGCCGGCAAGGCCGAAATCGACAGCTACAAGGCCAACGGCGTGCGGGTGGGAGGGTTTGGGGAGGTGGAGGTGACGGAGGACAAGAGGCGCTGGATCAACGCCGATCCGAGCGAGGGGCTGAAGAAGAGGAAGAAGGGGGAGGACAAGACGAATGAGGAGGGTGATTATCAAGGGGTGTTTCGGTATGATATGGTGGAGAAGAGGATTTGGTAGAAGGGTTCAACAAAAGAAGTGTATTGCGTTGAGGGTTTGTTTGAATTATCATCAGCGTCGGTCAAGTTAGTTAAGTCAGTTAGTCTGTACATAGGCATATGAACGAATGAACATACAATACAAAAACCAAAATTACTATAAATATCACTCCATAAGGTAACAATGGAATCATAGACCATAAGCATAGCTTCTCGAAGCATTTTGTTCCAAATCTATCTGGATTTGGAAAGACCCAGAGATGAGTATATTCAAATGGATAAATATATAGACTGATAGATGTACTAAATCTATGCTGCTTTGAAGCCAGCCCATTCTATGTAAAAAACGCTCCCAATTCTCAATTTTTGTTAAGCCTCCCTCCCTAGTTATGCCCTCCATTCCCATCCGATTTCTTTTCTTTTAGTGATATTGTGCAACTCATCAAAAGGGGTATAGTGTACGTTCATGTCCTCATGTCTTCATCGTCTAGACGCCAACCGATTTTTGGTCGACATCTTTTCTCGGCATCTTTTTATCATCGCAACTCTCCCACTTTACTGAGAAGCACTGGCCAGCTGCAGCAGGTTGGGGTGGTTGGCAAACAGCTCCGGCTTGGCTCCGTACAGGGCCTGCACTGTGCGGCACAGGAGCTGGCGCGTCTCGGGCTCGAGCTGCTCCTGAGGGGGTGAGAGGACCTTCTCGAAGATGCCAAGCAGCTGGGGGGTCAGCTGCTGGACGGTCTCGTTGGATTGATTGTCTGCCGAGTGGTTAGTGCTTGAACTCGACTGGACGATTTCTCATGGCAACTTACAGAGGGCGTGGATGCACTGGTAGATTGGCTCGTTCTCCTCATACTCCTCCTGCAGAGGCAGGTTGCTGACGATCGCAGGGAGAGCCTGAGCGACGAATCCAGCGTCGGCGTGCTTGATCATCATGCGAGACAGGGCACCAGCAACGTTATCCGTAATACGCATTTCCTGGATGGCCAACATGGGCTCGAGCTTCTCCCACAGCTGGGGGTAGATGGGCACAGTCTTGGCAGTGTCCGATGAGTGGTACACCAGCAGACCAACAGCGTACGCGGCGTTGGACTTGGTCAGGGCGTCAGGGTCCGAGAGACGTCGCATCAAGGCCTGGCCAATAGACTCGGTGTAGGGGGTAATAGCCTCGCCGGTGTACTTGATGACCTCGGCGATGGTGCCGATGGCGGTTGAGCGCTGCAGATCCTCGGTCGAGCTCGCCATCTTGTAGATGGCCTTCTCAAAGATCTTCCACAGCTCGCCAAAGTCGCGGCCCAGAGCGGCAGCAAGGCCAACAACGACATCCAGAGCGGTGTCAATGGCCAGCCAGTCGTACTCGGAGGATCCGGCGTCCTCGACCTCCTGCTCCTCGTCCTCGTCGCCAAGGTCCAGCTGGCAAGGGTGAGAGCGCGTGATGAGGAGAGTGACGACTGAGACAATCTCCTGCAGCATGCCATCCTTGGAGGCCAAAACGGCGGGACCGCAGGCCTTGAGAGTGGCGGCAACGTTGCGGTTGATGTCAGTGACAACAGACCTGGGTTTGCTTAGTTAGCAAAATGCACTGGAAACTTCATGGCAGAGGTAACAGTGTAGAGAAGATAGGAGCAGTCAGAAGTAGATTACACGCGTTCTCAGCAATTGCATTTGCATCTGAGTGAGCTGGGTATAACGCAATGTTGTCATCATGCAATGGGGAGAAGTAATGAGCAGAAAATAGAGAAGGAGCAACATACCGATCGCTGTCGTTGGCCCAAATAGTCATGGTAGACTCGTGAAGGGTCTGGCCAATCTTGACAATGGACGCAGGGGGGGCGGGGTTGGGAGGGAGACCGGCCTGCCATTTAACGCCAGCACTCTCCTCCCAGACCTGGAAGACGCGAGCATACATTCGCCAGAGAGTGGAGATGGCAGTCTTGCGGCAGCCCTCGTAGTCGTGGTCGGTGAAGGGCACGACCTTCTCAATGGTCTTCTCGACATAGGTCTCGAGGTTGTTCATGTTGCAAGAGTTGGAAATGACATCGCCGAGGACGTCAAGGGCAATCTCCTGCTCCATGGCAACGGCGGTGGTGCCACCGGCGAGGTCGGCGAGGTCCTCAATGTCATCCCAGTCGTCCTCGCCGTCAGCAATGTCAACGTCCTCCGCGTTGGGAGTCTTGACCTTGATGCGCTTGCCTCCGACGATGAGGTGGCCGTCCTCGAGCTGGCTGGGGTCGATGCCGGGAATGTCGAGCTCCTCGTCCTCCAGTTCCAGAGAAGAAAAGATGCCCTTGAAGACACCGTCAAGGAAGTGCTCAAACTGCTCGTGGTAGACCTTGGACAGGTTGGACCAGAGGATGAAGCTCGTCTCCTTGAGTCTGGGGTTGTCCAGGCTGAGGGCCTCCTCGCTGGCCTTCATGAGGTCCATGACATAGGGCTGGAAGGCCTCGGGGCCAACAGCCAGGGCAATGCGACCCAGGCTGTCGCAGGTGGAGCTTCTCAGGTTCATGGCGTCCTCGCTGTCCTTGATCATGACGAAGTTGCCAAGAGACTTCATGACGTTCTCGAAGTAGGGCTGGAAGTCCTTCTCCATGGAGGCGGCGATGGCACCGAGGGCAGAGGCAGCAGCGGCCTTGACGCCATAGTCCTCGTGATCAAGCAGCTTGACCATGGGACCAATCAGGGTAGGGCCGTACTGAGCCATGATCTTGGTGTCAATGCCGTCGCCAAAGGTGTCAAGGGCACCGCAGGCGCAGCGGATGATGCTGATGTTGGTCTTGTCAGAAGGACCCTGGGAAGCAGATTCGAGGTTCTTCAGAACAGCCTCGATGATCTGCTGGTGGTGAGACGCCATCTCATCGGCCATCTCCTCAGCGAGGTGGATGAGGCCAACAAGGGCAGCGTGTCTGACCTTGAGCTCGGGGTCGCACAGCAGGTTGATGATGGTGGGGAGGAGAGGCTGGAGTTGGGTGGAGATGAAGTCAGGAGCGCCCTCGGCAGCGTTGCCCAGGGCCAGCATCGCAGCCATGCGGTAACGGGGGTCCTGGTGGGTGGCAAAGATGGGGAACTGCTCAAGGAGAGGCACAATAACCTGGCGAGGTGGCAGCTCGTTGGCCAGCTGGTCAATGAGGCTGATGGCGACTCGGGCGGGCGACATGTCCTCCTCATCATCAGAGTCCAGGTCGATGACAATGTGCATGGCCTTGACCATGAGCTCGGCGCCAACATCCTTCATGGCCTGAATCTTCATGCGACGGAAAGAAACGGTCTGGATGAGGAAGCCAAGAGCCTGGGAACGAGGATCATCCTCGGCGTTGGTGTTGCCGGCCAGCTCAATCATGAACATGAGCAGGTCGCGCAGGTGGAGGGCCAGAAGGGCAGAGTCGTAGGCGATGAAAGAGTGGAACACGTCAAAGACGGTGCCGTAGCTCTCCTCGTCGCCAGCCTCAACGGTAGCCTTGAGGATGTTGACCAGGCTGGGGACGAAGCCCTGCATGGTCTTGAGGGCCTGGGGGTCCTCCTCGGGGTCAACGAGCATGAGGATGGCACCAATGGCGCGGACAATGTTCATGCGGACCTCCTTGCTGTCGTCGTTGATGCGCGACTGGAACAGCTGCAGGAGCTGGTCGGTGTGGTCGCTGAAGTGCGAAGGGTCGTCCTCGAGCATGGCATAAAGGACGAAAGAGCCGACCTCGCGGTGCACGACGTTGTCGCTGGTGTTGAGGGGCAGCAGCTGCTTCAGGAAGTCCTCGCCATCGCCAGACTCCATGTCTTCGCCGACGATGCCAGCAACCAGGCGCGCCAGGGAGTGGCGGTTGGCAGCAGACGTCTCCTTCAGAGTGCCCTCGAGCAGGTGTGAGCGCACAAGAGGCTTCTGGTCCTGGGGGGTGGCGCTCCAGAACTTGGACACCAGGCGCAGGGCCTGGACGGAGGCCAGCTGGCGCACAGCACTGTCTCCATGTGTAAGGGCGATCTCGATGAGCGCGAGAAGAGACTCGGGCTTGGAGTAGTAGTTCTTCTGGAGATCGGCCGTGACGGCCTTGACCTGTTCCGTGTTGGCTGTCGAAGACGCATGTTAGCAGACGGCCTTGTTTGGAGGTAATCGGATAGAAGACTGCTCCTCTCTATCTTCCTCTTTGAGCTTCATCTCTTCAACTGTGTGCGCGTTCACGAGAAGAAGAGAAAAAAGTCCTCGCGATAACGCGAGAAGGAAGAAAGCAGAGAGAGCGAGAGATAAGCAGCAACGCGGCAAAGAGCGACTTACGAACTTGGCTGGCCTGCAGCAGCTGAGCGAGCTTGTCCTTGTCCATCCTGACTATTCGCTTGGAAGCTCAGCGACCAAGGGAAATGCAAAAGATGGAGGAAGAGAAAAGTCCGAGGACGAGGTGGGAGGAAAAAAGATTTTATTTACTTCGCCTAGAGGGGAAGAAAAAAAATTAAGATCCCAGACTCCATCCAGGCAGGGACTTTTTTTGCCCCGCTTGGCCGAGGGGTCGGTCCCCAGTTTCCAATTTGCGAGGCAGCAGAAGCTCGAGAAGCTGGAGATTTGCGCCGAATTATAACCGCCGTTATCTGGGAAGAGCTGTTGAGTTGATAAACTGCTGCTTGCTTGCGGGAAGCTAAGAGATAAGCGCTAGAAGCTGTCTGTCTACCTTACAGGTATGCGGCCTGTCTATGTGACGACTGATGTGAACGACGAGGTGAAGAAGAATGCGACAGAGACTCCGTAACCAGTAAGGAAAGCGAGAAAGTGACAGACCAAAGAGAGAAAACGACACGGCCAGATGTGTCGTCCAACTGCATGAACAATGACCAACAAGACGCAATGAAGAGATTCGGCAGCAGGCAGCAGACCACTCTGCCCTGCCAATGATATCATCGTCTGCAGCAGCTGCAGCTACACCGAAAGGCACACCTCGTACCCAACCATCAGCTTGCTGCAGTCCAAGCCAGCATTCACCCCAACAAGCTCATCCACAGTGAGTCCCTGAGCTTGAGCCACGTCCCAGCAGGTGTCATTCTCCGCAACTGTCACGCTGCGTCCCGGACACTTGACCACCACCTCGAGCTTCTCCTCCGGTGCCTTCCGGCCAATGAACCAAAACAGCACGAGCAGCGACAGCCCAACCAGGACCCCAAAGTTGAGCAGCGGCATCATGTCATGTCGCCATGAAGTCTTGGGCATCGAGTCCTGGAGAAATGGCTCCGAGTCGCTGGCATCGTCGTCGGCGGCAGGCCCGGAGACCCGCGTCAGACGGCCGTACTGGGAGCCCGGCGCAGACTCCCAGAGGCTGCCGTCTGCGTCTCGGAAGGTGTAGACTTGGGTGTCGGCATCGTAGCCGACGCGGGTCATGCCCTCGGGGAGGCGCTCTTCGTCGGTGTCGTAGCGAGAGAATCGAGACATGATTGCTTCGTTTTGGAGAGTCGTAGAGGTTGTGGCAGTATCGAGGGAAGAAGGCAACAGGTACTGTCGCTGATTGACTTTTAAGTGTAAAAGAGGAGTCGTGGTTGTGGAAGTTGAGAAACTTCTAGCAATGTGTTCATGATGATGGAAGATCAGGAATCACGGATTCCGGCTCCGACCAGCAGCAATCATGAAGCAAACACGGAGCACACGAGCAAGGGGATGGAAAGCACAGCCAGCGTCAGCGGACAGGGAGGTTACGCAGCGTTTGTACCGTCTGTTAGCCACGGACCCTGCGGAGGGGTCACACAGGGCTGTCCCGCTTACCAGCAGTGACCCGCCATTGCATCATGCCGCTCTGCTGCAGGGCTCCACGGATCTGTCACGCTCAGACACGCCCGAGACATGATGTGACATTTCCTCTCCCATTCATCACGACTTGCTTCGAATATCGGGACATACAGTAAGCAGCAGCTACCCTGCAAACCCTGAAAGGTTGAGCGTGATCTGATAACACAAGAAGACTACTAGTAATAGTGCTGAGATGGCGTCTCGTTATATGAGTCAGTTGAACAGTAATATCCAGCAAGAATTGACCAGTAATATGCTGGCTATTGTCGTACAGAAGATGCCTGGCCGAGGACACCCACCAAAGCAGACATGGTGTACCTTATCCGATGCCGGTCTCATCGCACACGATATCCACCTGGGGCGCGGCCACACTTACATACGGGACGAGCCTAGCGAGGCATTGTGATCAAGGGGTTCGGAGACAATGGCGAGCTCGAAAGAGGCTTAGACGCTCTCACTTGGCTGCCATGCACATCAGAAAAGCCGGGAAGAGTAACCCAATGGGACTCATGGTGCCCCCCACGAAAGACACGCCTTGCAGCTGCCCCTGTACAGCTGAAGCTCGTTGGCCAAGAGCCTCATGTCGCCTGAAGCCTCGTCAAAGTCGCCGCATGTACAGTCCATACATTTGTCAGCCTTTTCTACGTGCATCTCGTCTTTGGGACCCAAACTTGAGTCCAGGTGGTGGCGGATTCGTGCCCAATAACTGAGGTGGCATCAAGCCAGCATATGTAAGGCGGCATGTATGCTCGAGATATGCCACCGCGTCGATGCGGCTGAAGAGCAAGAGTCGAATCAATGGCCTACACTTGGCCCACAGACACGCTCCAGATACCAGAAGGCCAACAAGAATCACCAATTATCAAATATGATTTCGCATCCGAAATGATGACTTATCATTCCAATATCAAGGCGTCCAGCTACTAGTAGACGCAGTGAGTAGAAACATCCCTGCTTATTCTGGGTGGGCCGACCCGAGCAAAGATCGCATGCCTCATACTATGTAGTAGATTTCATCGACAGGTACAGCTTCTGGGCACTCCTTCTATGTTTACACACACAGACACCGACTTCTTCGTCTTCACTCTTCTCGTTCTTCATCTTCATCTTCTCAATCGCCTTCACAGTCATCTTCCTACTACCCCCTTTCCACAGTCAACATGCCGCAACCCGAGGAAGCTGAGCATATCGCGCCGCGTACAAGCCAGGGGTGACTGACGACCCCGGCAGAAACTCCTCGCAGTACGAATGGGTGGGCGGCCCTGCATCGGTAATGGATGGATTCCGGAGGCGTCTGCACGCTGCATCAGGCTCTGAGGCTGGGTCCTGCGGCTGATTCTGCTCGAATCAGAAGCAGAGTCACGATCTTCGTCTTCCGTGGCGGCGCGTCTATATACTGGGCAATGTAGCCCGTGACGCCTGCAGGCCACTGTTTCCCCTCAGATGCCTGACGGCTATCCACGTCTTCCGGATACCTTTTGCAGCGCGAGACATCAAGTCTCTTCAGCAAATACTCCTCGAATATTCTCTTTTGTTTCTCGTTTAGTGTAGTTCAGCGGCAACATGGCACGATTTTCGATACTCTGGGTGTTCCTGATGCTATGGCTGGCCGGTCGTGCCTCTGCCGATGGGGGCGATGACTTCGCAAACAATCTCGCCTCGGACCTCGGGCCGTGAGTAGATACCATCGGAGATAACGACCCCTTTGTCCTCCGGTCTTCTAGACTAACACATATCGTGTCCAGCATCATCGCACTCTTTGGTGAAAGGGTCGTCATGCAGTTCATGAGTCAGGCAATGGGTATAGCCGACTGCATACTCCTGGCCGTAGCCCCGATTGGCGCCATCACCACTGTTGTAAGCGCCATCAGAGTGGCTGGGCCAGCATGGCTGAAGTCATTCATCGGACGAGCAAGAGAGAATCTATCGGCGGCTGAAATCGAGGTCATGTCATCCACATCGGACGAAACATGCGAACTTTGGAACGGCCACAGTGTGGTTAGGTGCCCGGGATCGGCCGATATATACCAGTTTATCTGCTTGCTCCCCAAAGGTTCTAATCTAAAATCCCTGTCCGAATCACAAAGACGCATTCGATGCGTAACATTGCAGGAAGCTGAGAAAGAGAAAGATCATAATTTGCTTCGTAAGATAGGTAAGTAATGGCTTAATCACATTCAAGTCACCTACTCACTTATATTCAAGAAACGTGTGGACCAAGATATGCTTGGAGATCCTTCAAAAAACCCCTGGAGTTCCTTTGTAGAAGAATAATAAATGTCTACCAGCAACACGCCAGCAATTATACCTCAGTCTTACACGCCTGGAAGAGAAGAAAAGAACTCATGAAGTTCATTGGGAGCTCGGATATAGAAGCCCAAGATCAGTCAAGTATCAGCACTCCGATGAAGAATATGCCTGGGAGCCAAAACCCATCCTTTGGGACAAGTCAAATACGTCCTATCCTGGGGAGGCTGCCTGATGTGACGGACGCTTTGACGGGGGACCTTGGCGGAGTAACGGAACAAGACAAGGACGCACAAAAGAAGGAAATGTGCGTCGTCGTGGATCGTTTTGATGATAGTGCGCCAAATCTTCTACTCAACTGTCACGATAGAGTCCAGCGCGGCGAAATTTACCTTGCGGCTGCCTTTGGCGTAATTTTACAGCTCGGCGCTCTGGTTTACTTCGGATTCATCACCTACAACCCACCAATCAAGGGCCAATTCTTCCTGAAAGATGGCAAACGAATCGTCGACTATGCTTTTCCATGTGCTGCTGGAGGAACTGTTCTTCTGATGCTTGGGTTATTCATATGTGCTTGGGTTGTTGAAAGAAGCACTACAGAAACTTGCTACGAGGCACCAAATCACCAGATGTTCGTCGTCTGGTTACAGAAGGACCACACGGTCAATGATCAGGTGTTCAAGCCCTATGCAATCTACCCAACCAGCAAACGAAGGTACATTACAAGGTCTCGTCGAAATACAAAGCGGCCCGGTCAACAAGAAGAGTCGAAAAAGAATATGACCAACGTTCCAATTGTCGGCGATAAAACCAGCACTACACGAGACAATAATGCGGCGCAAGAACCTATCTGGGACCAGAGGTTAGAGCGAATTACTTTCTTCGGCGCTCTCATTGCCCTCATTGGGTTTATCTCACAGTTCATTGGGATGAGGGGACTGAACTGGACAGCATCAGTCGTGCAGCTTGCTATCACATTTGTGGTAACTATGATTAGGGTCATAGTTCGGCGTGGACTTGGCAAATCGCCAATTGGCCGTGACTTGTTGTTGAACACTGAGCTTGACTGGTTCTCTCTGACTCTCGGAGATCTTGCTATAGCTCCCTGGGCTGTACCTGAGAGTAAGCCCCATGGTGTGACTGAGCACGTTGCTTCGACGGACGTGGAACCTCCCAAATGGAGGATATGCACTGGAAGCAGCCAGCTATATCATCCTTTGAAGAAATTTCCTCTGAAAACCAAAGAGGTGAGAAAGATCTCAGCAGCCCACGAGATGGTGGTTACCCGCCAAAGACTACGCGACATTGCAAAATGGAAAAATTTAGTCTCCGAAGAGGCTGCCCTTCTGTCGCGTGCAATTGAAGCCGTTGCGCAAACATTTCTGGAGAAGCTACCCGAAACAAAGCTTTTGTGGACTATCACGGCAGTCTATAAGGAAAGAAAAGAGCCTATCTTCATAAAGCTGGAGAAAAGCGATGGTAAATGGCAAATAGAAGACCAGAAAGTTGAAGCGATTCTGTCACTGTGGTTATACTCGACTCCACCAGCAAGGAATCGGGACATCGATATGTGTGCTAAGTGGCGGGTTTTTGGGTCGATTGTCCTGTGGCCTCGTCTGATTCGCGATCTCCGTTGGTGGATGCCAGAACACATCCCTGAGTTTTCTGCGCGTACGATGTCCGAGCACTCCGTCTCTAAGGGGAAGGATCGTGGTGGAAAACTTGAGCGGACCGTTGTGGGTTTTACATCTGAACCCGACGAAACTGAGAACACGACCGAGAAACCAGGCAATAAGACCAACGATCATGAGCATTTTCTAGTCGTGGAGTCTGAAGATTCATGGCAAAGATTCTACTCCAGGGACCTCTTATTTGCATTCATACGTTCAATTGCGAAGATGTCTGAGGTCACCCCAGAAAGCGCGCAGAGCGAACACCATATGAATTACGGCAAAATGAGAGATGGCTGGAGGCAAATGAGGTTAAAGAGTACCACCATTTCTAGCTTGGCTAGGAAGCTCGAGAAGATTGGCTTTGGAACATTGTCGGATATCTATTTCGATCTCATTATGCCTCTAAGCTTGGAGCAGAAATTAACCAACGTCAAAGACGTCATTGACGAAGCGGTTAAGCAGGCACAACAGCACGAGAGATTACGCCAATGGAAGAAGTTAGTCGATGTTTGCTGTTGTCTTATCGACTTGTCACAGCGGTTCGACGTGGAAAGGGAGTCGTCTGGTCCATTGGCTGTGGCTGTTTGCATGGAGTTCCTGTGTAGACTACGCCATGAGACCGACCTTCAATCGCGTGAAGACAGAAGCGAAGAGGAGCTTATAACACAGCTGAAGCTTCTCGAAGAAAAGTTCAGATGCATGGAGGAGTTGGAAGGTAGCGCTGTCTTTTCAAAGATCTTAAGCCCGCTTACAAATCGCCGGGACTATACTACGACTTTCGGCCTGCTAATAGGCATTGGATCCAATGTCGACAACATGTTCCCGGAGAGTTTCAATGTCCTCACTGAACACCGGGAACTGACGCAGAAGAGCGACTCGGAGAAAGCTCTATACTGGAACGTCGAAGAACTTGAGAAAGCCGATTCGTTCGGTTGGTCCCCCCTTCATTATGCTGCCAATTCTCCACTGGACAGTCTACGTATCGTCTTCTCAGAGACAAGTGAGGCTCTGAATTTCCGCGATTTCATGGGACGGACGCCTTTGTACCATGCATGCCTTAATGGCAACGAAAAAATGGTGGACCTACTGCTCGCTCGGGATGCTCCAATTGAGGTTGCTGGAAATGATGGGATTACGGCGATTCACTGCGCTGTACTCAGTGGAAGAGAGGTTGTGCTGAAGAAGCTTGTTGAGAAAGTAAAGTCAGGCCATAAAAAACACACCAGGAAGAGCATTGCCCACGTGGATCGTAACGAGAGGCATCCCATCCACTGGGCTGCAGTTGAAGGGCGCCTCGACTTGGTCCGATTGTTGAAAGACGACATCAATCGCAGAGACCGTTTTGGGTGGAGTTGTGTTCATCTCGCGGTGATATACAAGCACATATCTCTCCTTGATGGGATCATCAAATCTTTCTCGGCAGACATAACCTTGTGCGACGGTGCTTCTCGTACACCCCTACATCTTGCGGTCAAAAGAATGTCCTTGGAAGCTGTCAACGTATTGATCAGAGCTGGTGCCGACGTCAATGTCAATGACAAGGATGGATTAACTCCCCTTCACATGGCGGTTGGACAGGAGGATATCACACGGAAGCTTATCGACAGTGGCGCTGGTATCAATGCAGTCGATGCTGAAGGCCGCACTGCACTCTTCCTAGCAGCAGAGAATGGCATGGCTAAGATTGCACGTCTGTTGATCGACGCAGGGGCAGACGTGACAGTCGCAACAAAAGACGAGAGAACGGCTTTGCATATGGCAATCAGATTCAAGGATATTGCGGAAATGCTATTAGATAATAGGGCTGATATCAATGCCGAGGACATCGAAGGCTACACGCCGCTCCATCTAGCAACGATGGATGGTACAGCTGAAGTTGCCTCCCTATTGATAGACAAGGGTGCAGATGTCGCCATTGCAGCAGAGGACGGAAGAACTCTTCTGCACATGGTCCTCAGTCGAGGAAAAGATTGGCTGGAAATTGCAAAGAAGCTTATAACCTTTGATACTGATGTGGAGGGAAACAACCTTTACGCCAAAGCCATGGACGACGCCACTCCTCTTCACGTTGTAGCAGAACACGGCCCACTCGAGGCTGTCGAGATGTTGCTGCGCCTCGACGCGAATATTGATCAGAGAGACGTGTATGGACAAACCGCATTGCTCATTGCAGTGTATCAGGGAAATTGGGATATTGCCGAATCATTACTCGCAGCCGGCGCCGACGTCAATGCCGATGATCGAGCTGGATATACACCTTTACTTGGTGCCGTTATGGAGGGCCAGGAACACATTGTGGGAATCTTGCTTGAAAAGGGGGCTGATGTCAACGCTGTTAATGAGGACGGATATTCATCCATTCATCTTGCCGTTTCTCAAGGCGATTCCAAAATCCTTCGACAACTGTTAAACGCTGGCACGGACATTGACTCAGTCACCAAGTTCAACAACCAGACACCGTTACACATTGCAGTTCGCAAAAGAGATGGGGAGATGGTACGAATCTTGCTCGAGGAGGGAGCAAATACCGAGCCTCTCAACCATCTCGGCTTCACAGCGCTACAATACGCCTTGTATCGCGAGGATCTTGAGGTTGTGAAGCAATTTGTCGAGCATGACAAGTCGCCTACTTCTACTGCTCCCAAGGCGGCTCTACAAAGGGGTGAGAATGGTGACACTCCGCTGCATACTCTGTGTCGATTGACTCAGTATGGGAGCGATGAAGGCGAAATCTGCGACATTCTTGAGAACCTCTTGAGTATCGCCCCGCTCATTGATATGATCAACGCCAAGAATGATGAAGGCCTCACACCGTTAGACGTGGCAAACCCTATGATGGATGAGTATCCGAATCTCGTCAAAATGTTGAAAGAAAGGGGGGCAGAGCCGAGCCACGAGGAAGCCGAAGAATCATTAATGAGTTTTGCTTCTTTGGAAGTTTAGAGAGATGTGTTAAGGACAACGCTTGCAAGTCGTCCGCTGATGGGAAAGCCAAGCCCGTTGAAGATACTCCTGGAACACACGCTGGTGCGAATCCAAATGCTGTGTCGATCGGAACTCGCTTCACGCATTCATTATCCCTACAGGCACATGAATTTCAGGTGCAGTGCCTGACGATGCAGATACGGCACACTTGCAAAGGATAGTGTCTATGCTTGTTGAAGGGGCCCTCACGTGTATCGAAGGTGAACAGATATAGAAAAGCCCTATGCAACTCCAAAGTATCATAGAATGACATAGGGTGAGGGAATGGCCGACCAGTATCCCATCTTAGCCACGCAGCATCCTTTCAAATCCATAGGCTGATAGGACAATCGTTCAATGGAGAAAAGGAGGTTCTTAAATTCTGCTACTATCGCTATGTTCTTCTAGTTTTCCTGTATGACTCTCTTTGTAGTAAGTAGCGGTGCGGGTTACGCACTGCCTAAGGTAGGTTTGCCATGTCCAAGTCCGATAGGCTCTAAAGGCTATTATGCTTGAGCATGTCTACAGCAAGTTCTTCACGTCCTATACAGTTCCATAAACTTTTCTGAACATGGGTATCTTAATCCTCTCCTCTGTTCTATCCAAGCTGAACCATAACATTCTCTCTCATCGCTCTATACAAGTTCTAACTCCTCAGCGTCTTAAAAGGGGTCCTGAGCATCAAAATTGCCAGCCCCCGATATAGCAGCAACACGCAAAAGATCCCACTGAAGCTCCAACAGCTCAAAGCTGGGCAATTGTTCGGGGTCTTCGACGCGAATAGTAAAAACCTGGCCCGTCTGAGGGGAGTTGCCGAACACGTGCTTCATGCTCCCCCAGCTGTCGCAGATGTGGCGGCAGACGTACTTTTCGTACTTGGCGTTAGGGGGTATCATCATTCTTGGACTGAGCTCGCTCTTCTGAAGCCAATGCCACTGCACAGTAATTTCAGTCTCAGACTCACTGAGCGGCTTCAGAGCGAAAGCCGCCTTGTCCCACATGAAATGCAACTCGCGACTCATTGAGAGGAAGTTCCGGGGAGACTCTATGACGCGCGGGTCGGTGACCTGAGAGGCCCAGCGGTCTCTGATTCTCTCGCCCCAGAAGCATGTGAGCAGGGCGTCGAGGGGCTGGAATGCGTCGCCGATGGTGGTGCAGAGCGGAAAGATGTCTGCTTTCTCTGCATTGCGAGAGACGGTGAAAAGGCATACATTTTGTGTATGCTTTTTCTCCGGGGCAGGGTGGACGCTGCGCTGAAAGGGGGCAGAGGGTGAGACTGGTGCTTGCAATGATTGATTGCAGCTGCTTGACGTGGATATGGCACGTCTGCGGTTTGGGATGCCTGTGAGAAGATACTATTAGCAATAACTCGGGATATAAGAGATGAGAGAGTGTGTGTTAAGAGACATACAGGATCGAACCGCCTCTGGCGCGGTATACATGGCGTAGAGCAGCAGCTTCACGGGATTCTCTGACCCATGCTGGTCGGGCCTGTAGTGACGAATTTCTTCCAGCATCCGCCGCATCTGCGAGAGAGGAGCAATCATCATGACTGCAAACATTGTTGCGTTGAGTGTTACGATGACCCCCGGGGAGGTCACGCTGTGGGCTTGGTAGAGGCGCTGGAAGGATTCGAAGAGCCTCATGCGAGCCTGCCACTCCGATACATGACCACCACTGAGTGTAATGGTTCGGGGGTAGTGGTCTTTTGGCTTTTCAGCACGGCGGGAAGGCATTTTGGACGGTATTGGGATTGGTACTTGGAAGAACGAAGAGATTGAGAAGTAAGTGAAAGGCTATACGATAGAGAACAGATAGAAGAGAATATGGTGTGAAGCAAGTGAGATAGAAGAGGAGATGAAGCAATTGGGGGGAAGACGTTTTATAAAGCGGCACAAGACATAATGTTGGGACTGAGAAGAGTCGAGCTCAGCGCCACGCAACTTGGTTTGAGGCTGCAGGCTACACACTTGGGATCGTGGACGAAATAGAGTTGTCCATAACACGAATAAGCTTATACGCCTTGCTTAAATAGAGTAAGTCTTGGGAGACCAACTCATATAGGCTACAACCTTGGCCTATACCCCCTGGTGAACTTGTGGTCTGTCTCATGAGGCCCATGGGCAGCTGTCAGCGAATCAGCGGATCAGCGGCTTATTCGGATGCAAATATTGTTTATAGACTGGCTATCATTAACCACAATACTGTCTTTGACTTTGAGTTGCTGCGTCGGGTGTGTGCAGGTTGTTGTGTGCACATATGCATTGGTTTCCTTATCGCCGAACCTTGTTGTGTGGCTTGTGCAAGGGGCGAGTACGTAGTTTGGCTATTATCAAGACTTTGAACTGTCGTGAGACCAGACTGAATCTGGATGAATTTTTTTCACTTACGGAACCGAAGTACAGGCGTGAAAGCCTTCAGTAATGAGTGTCTTCACTGCACTCCCCCAAGCCTTCGTCTCCCCCCTTAGTGCAGGAAGTACTTTCAACGGTGCAACTGATGCATCAACTTCACGGATTCACTTATTCTGTAGGCTTTGTAGCCAATAAAGAAGACAAGAAACAATCTATCAGGCGCAGGTACAAATATGATATCAGACACTATCTCAAGTGTCAAATGCCCTCCGTGCATAGTGTATACCTGGATACTCATGAGTCTTGATGAAGTGTGACTCGAGATTTTGCTAGATTATTTGCCTTGAGTTTCTGAGCTAGTAAACTTCCTCTTTAAACCGTTGCACTTTACCTCCTCTCTCTTAATTTCTGTTCGGCTTTCCATAGGTACTCAACCTGATGACTCGCTGCTCCCGAGTCTCAGGCCATTGGTGCTTGTTCCGAGAATCTGTTCTTCCTTTCTGAAGAGTCAGTATATCCAGACGTGTGTAACTATGATGAAAGTCTAAGATCTTCTAATAGCCACTTACTACTGTAGCTATCTGATTTCATGAGGTTTCTTCAGTGAGATGATGGCTATTTTCACATGATCTATCACCAAATCTCTTATCGCAGGTGACTACCTTATATACAGTCAATTGCCTCCGATGAATCATCGATATTAAGCGTTCTTTCTTTATCAACTTACATCCTTGTATATAAGTCAGAATTTATCAGCTTCATTTTCCATCTTCGTCTTCAACGTCTTCTCATGTGCTGCCCTCACCAGTGTTTGAGTCAATTGATACAGTATTGCTTAGTCAGCACGGTGCTCAACAACGACTTTTCCTCCATCTCGACTCAGCAAAGGTTGCACGTCTGTCAGGTTTCGGCATGTCTGCGTCTGCTTCAGCTGCTTCAGCATCGCCTGCGTCGGTGCTCAACTTCAATGCGCTGTTCGACAATCCGCTGTTCGCGGGAGGCATCGGCCTCGCCTCTCTAGGCGCCGCCGCAGCGTTTGCGCGCAAGGGATCCATTGCCGTCCTGGGCGCCGCTCGCCGCCGGCTGCTCGTCAACGTCGAGATCAGCAAGCAGGATCCGGCGTATCCCTGGATCCTCGCATGGCTCTCGCAGCCTCGTGAGACGCCGGGCTTCATCGCCTCGCGGCTGACGCGCATCCACAACCTGTCCGTGGCGACGGCGACGGGGTCAAAGGGACCGGGAGCCGGCGGGCCAGTCAATGCTCACTTCTTTCTCCAGCCGGGATATGGACGCCACATTGTCAAGTTCGGGAGGGCCTTCATCTCGGTCAACAGGGAGAAGCACAACACGGCCAACATGAACACCGGAGAGCCGCATGAAATTGTCCAGCTGACTACGCTGTGGGCGCATCGCCACGTCTTTGAGGACCTCTTCAGAGAGGCGCACCAACTGGCCGCAAAGGCGAACGAAGGCAAGACGGTGGTGTACTCTGCCCGCGGGCTCGAATGGAGTCCTCTGGGAGACCCTCGCAAGAAGCGGCCGCTCGGCTCGGTCATCCTGGACGAGGGGGTCAAAGAGAGCATTGTCGCAGACGTCAAAGACTTCCTGTCAAGACAGCAGTGGTATGTGGATCGAGGCATTCCCTACCGGAGAGGGTACCTCCTGTATGGGCCTCCGGGGAGTGGCAAAAGCTCTTTCATCCAAGCGCTGGCAGGAGAGCTCGACTTTGGTGTGGCCATGATCAACCTCAGCGAGATGGGCATGACGGACGACAAGCTGGCATATCTCCTCACGAAACTGCCCAAGAGGAGCCTGCTTCTTTTGGAAGATGCAGATGCGGCCTTTGTCAACCGTCGGCAGCGAGACTCGGATGGATACAGCGGCGCAAGCGTCACCTTTTCCGGTCTTCTCAACGCACTCGACGGTGTCGCAGCTGGAGAAGAGCGCATCGCCTTTCTCACGACCAATCACATTGAGCGCCTGGATCCCGCGCTGATCAGACCCGGCCGGGTGGACATGATGCTCAAGATTGGCGAGGCCACGCGATACCAGGCTGCGCAGATGTGGGATCGTTTCTATGGCGATGTGGATGAGGATCATTCTGGTCGGGCACGATTCTTGGAGCGCCTGGAAGAGCTCGGCTTGTTTGGACAGTACAAGGATGGACAGCCCTCTCATCGGCACACGAGCGCTGCTGCGATCCAGGGCTTGTTCTTGTTCAACAAGAACGATATGCAAGGTGCCATTGACATGGCCGAGGGTCTGATTCCAAGGAAATTCGAGGCCGAAGACTCGACTCCCGATGGGGCCATCAAGACGCCAGTCTGAAAGTGCGGCAGGATGAAGCCATCTGTATACCAGTCATGTACACTATTTTGTAACATCAAAGGATACCCAGACAAAGAAGCATTGTGATGATGATTCGGATCCCCTGGCCGTGCATGCATTGATGAACAGGACAGACAATCGAGCCCGCCTACTTCTTTGTTTATAAAGGAATCTGAAACAAGGCAGTTTCGTCCATTGCACTTCTCTGTCGAGTCTGGAAACCTTCCAGGCGACTCATAAAGGTGCATGCGGCCACTACTGACTACACTTTTCTATTCAGGACATCACCATCCCAGAAGAAGCTTGATTACAACGTCAAAATGGCTGCACGAAAAGCCTTGGTCAAGGTTGCAAAAGAAACGCAAAGCGTGCTGCCCTCGATCGTGCAGCATCTCCCCGACCTTGACCCAAGTTCATCCGAACGTCTCGACTACACAAGCCTTCCACCGCTACAGCCAAACTCATGCCCCAAGCGAACGCATCCGGGCACCTTGATCATCCGCGTCGTCCAAGAAGATTCTCTCAATGCAGCCATCCAACTCGCAAGCACCCGCGGTCAGGAATCAGGCCGCGTTGTCGTCCTGAGCAACGCCAATGCCAGGATCCCGGGCGGGCCGTGGCTCCAGGGCGCCATGGCTCAAGAAGAGGAGATTTGTTACCGGAGCTCGCTGTCCCTGTCTCTCCATGAGGATCTCTATCCTTGGACGGGGACGCAGGGCATCTACACGCCTGACGTGGTTGTCATTCGCGACGACGTCAAGTCTGGACATAACCTGCTCCATCCAGACACCGAAGCTTCGAACCTGCCCGTCGTGAGCGTCATCAGCATCGCTGCTCCTACACGCCTCAAACGCGTCACCGAAGGGCTCGCTGTCAACAACGGCGTGCAGAGCATCACCGCGAAGAGGGCCATCTACAAGAATCCTCACGACAGGGACACGATGAAGATGAAGATGCGGTTCTGTCTACGCATCGCCGCATCCAAGGGCCACGGGCTGCTCGTTCTGGGGGCGCTTGGATGCGGCGCGTTTGGCAATCCGAGGGATGATGTTGCGGAGTGCTGGCTGGAGGTGCTGCGGGAGAAGGAGTTTGGGGGAGGGTGGTGGGAGGAGGTTTGGTTTGCGGTGTTGGATCCAAGGGGGGATGGGAACTTTGGGGTGTTTCGAGATGTTCTTGATGGGATGAGGGTTTGAGATTGCATTGGATGTTGGGGTTGAGTGAGATGTCTTGTTTCTGGGCTTTACAACTGGTTGTGTCTATTTGGAAGTATAGTATAAACAAAGCTCTCGTCGGTATATCAGACTGCGAATTGCCTTGACGGAGTCCAGAGACGATAAATGTTGACGACTTCCATTTCACTTGACGCTCAAGATCTTGGGAGTGATAAATCTGACCCAATTCTGTCACCTTTGTCCTTCATTGTCCCGACAAGAGACCCTTTGTTGCATCACTTCCCATATAGGCCATCTCAGCTCATATGCATACTACAGCACAACACAGCTGAACCAACACCTGGACCTCTTGTTTCTTCTTCCTGGGAGTTACAAGTCATCAATGAAATGTCACCGGGCCATTTTTCTGACCCATTTCGACGCCTACATGAACAAGACGGCTCTCCACTCTGGACCCCCATGGCGATGTCGTGATCGGCGCCATTTTTAGCTCAAAAGATCAAGGAGCCGGGATTTGATGATATGGGTTTGCTTGAGCTGCGATGCAGCTCATCAGAAGGACTCTCTTAGATGATGAAAAAGAAGAATAAACAAATAGAAACAAGGTAATTAGTACAATTGACCCAGCTGTATGATTTCAATAAATTGGATCACATTGTATGAAGAAATTCATAGATATGGTAGCACAGACAAATCCGTCTTGACCATCCCGTCCCATCTTTGCCATCCCACCAAAACCATGTGGAGGCCCGAAAAACGTGAAGTGACGTGATCGCAGACTTTGCAAGGGTCCCGAATACACGTACCCATACGAGTACCTACTGCAGTCTCTCCAACAGACGGGAAACCAGTCACTAATAAGCAGTTTATTCGACGAGTCAGACGAAAAATCAGGGACAAGAAACACCATCACCAGAGATCACGGTTCGCGCTGTGCCCAGGCTGCGTTAGTGGGCGTTGCCTCAACTCTCTTTTTCCATCTTGAACCCAAGCCTCTTCAGACCTGGCCCCGTCTTACATGGATTCTTGATTCTTGCATCATTTCGGTGGCTGGTTGCTTCTTCCGCCTTTTGACTCTTTTCATTCTCTATTTCTTGAATAAAATCTGTCCGGAGTCGCGTTGGGGATCTGCTTTACTACGATATGAGAGCCGCCCTGTCTTGATATCAACTCATCCCACACCTCTTCGCCTCCGTCCTTCGTCATCTCAATCATACTCGACTCGAGAGCAAAAGTCAAGCAAACTGAGACCGTCGCCATGTTCCGCCACAACAAATCCGGCAAGCTCGACGACGAGCCTCGCCTGGACGACGTCTCCGCCGAGGACGCCCCGGCATACCAGCCGCAGTACGGCGCGCGCAGCCTCGACGCCGGCGACCACGACATCATCGACCCGGACTCGGGTGTCAAGCGCGGCCTCAAGAACCGGCACCTGTCCATGATGGCGCTCGCGGGCATCATCGGGCCCGGCCTGCTGGTTGGCTCGGGGGGTGCTCTGAACAGCGGCGGGCCGGCGTCGCTCATCATTGGTTTTGGTGTCATTGGTATGTGATGCTTCTTAGAGATCCCGCTTCCATCGCTAACGTTGTCCCCAGGCATCATTGCTTATTCAGTCATGCAGTCCCTGGGTGAAATCACGACCCTGTATCCCGGCGGAGGCGCATTCGTCTCGCTGGCGGAGCGCATGGTCGACAAGTCCTTTTCCGTGGCCGTGGGCTGGAACTACTTCATCATCTGGGCCACCGTCCTGGCCAGCGAGTACAACGTCATCTGCAGCATCCTCAACTTCTGGGCGCCCGGGGTCCCGCTCTGGGGATGGTTCCTCATTCTCTGGACCCTCTTCCTGGCGTTTCAGATCATCGGAGGCATCACGGCGTTTGGCGAGGCCGAGTATATCCTGGCGCTCATCAAGATCCTCGGCCTCACGGCGTACTTTGTCTTCTCAATTGTGTATGCATCTGGCGGGCTCGTTGGCCAGGACGGGGCCATCGGATTTCGATACTGGCATCATCCGGGAGCTTTCAACGGCCACGGCTTCCGAGGAGTTGCCACTGTCTTTGTCTTTTGCTCAACCTTTTATGCCGGCGTCGAGTCTGTTGCCGTGGCTGCCACGGAGACACGGAATCCAGGCATTGCCGTGCCGCGGGCTATCCGTCAAGTCTTCTTCCGCATCATCTTTGTGTACATGGGGTCGGCCTTTTTCTTTGGCCTCACTTGCCCAGCTGATTCTGATGAGTTAATCAACGGAGGTGCCAAGGCGCTGCAGAGTCCCATGACAATTGCCATCCAGAACGCAGGCTGGAATGGAGGTTCGTGTTGAAGCCCCGTGTCTGTTTGTGAATGTGCTAACGGAAATTCTTCCAGGCATCCACCTCATCAATGCCTTCATCCTCATCACCTGTCTGTCTGCCGTCAACTCCTCCATCTACATCGGCTCCCGCACCGTCCTGTACATGGCACAGTCCGGAAAGGCGCCCAAGATCCTCGGCTGGGTCAACAAGCGCGGCGTCCCCGTCTGGGCCATTGTCCTCACCAACGCCGTGGGCGCCATCTCCATGATGAACGTCTCGACGGGAGCGTCCAAGGCGTACAGCTACATCATCAACCTCGCCGGCGTCAGCACGTTCCTGGTCTGGGGCAGCATCAGCTTCATCCACATCCGCTTCCGCCGCGCGTGGACGACGCAGCAGCGCCGGGTGAGCGATCTGCCCTTCAAGAGCGTGCTGTATCCCTACAGCCCGTACTTTGGCGTCTTTGCCAACGTCTTCCTCGCGCTGGTGCAGGGATGGACAACGCTGTCGCCGTTTACCGCGGGCAAGTTTGTCGATGCGTACATTCTGCTGCCGCTGTTCGGTGTCATCTACGTGCTGTGCAAGCTGTATTGGAGAGGCAGTGACCCGTTCAAGAGGAGCTGGGACATTGACCTGGACAGCGGACGGAGGAGCGATCTCGACACGAGCGATTTTGCGGGAGACACATACGTGGAGCAGACACAGAAGGTGCCGCTGTGGAAGAAACTTTGGACATCTGTGTAGATGATATAGAAGCCATGGTTGTCTAATAAGATATTGGGTGTGGAAACGGAATAGACTCTGTTTACTTGACGCACGTTGACTGCATCGAGTTTTTCCATGCATGTGATGGGCTGCTTACTGGCTTATACCGGCTATCAGCTAAACGCCTACTGCAGCCCCGGTTCTCACACATGACGCCACTGCAAACCCCAACAGTTTCTTTTACGATGCTCTTCTCTATAAGAATATAAAACTACCTATACAGCCGCTCAGTTAGATGCCCAGATTGCAATCAAGCCCAATCGCCCTCGACATCAAGCCTCCCTCTCCCGGGTAGCTTCTCCGGATCATCACCCCAATTCTGCTGCAAATCGGACAATAACCTCCAGTGCCGGGGCCCGTGCTCTTCCCGCATCCTTAGCTGCTCCAGGCCAGGGTTCCAGGTACATCAGGCGCAGCTGTTACAGGCAGTTCCAGGGGCCAGGCACAGGTACAGGTACCGGCGCGGATACGCGTGGGCGCCAATGAGGTCAGTACATGTACCTTGATCCGCATCCTCGCAGCTCCCGACTTGCCCTCCTGCAAACCTCCACCAGCATCTGCATTTCAGCGCAAACCGCCATCGCCATCGTCGCGCCCCCGAGACTCGGCTTTGCAGTGCCCATAGCCTTCCGCCGCATTGATACACAGCCTGCTGCGCATCCCGTCGCTCTCTTTCATGTCTCTCGCTGGCCGACGACTCCGCAGTCCATCCCTCGACTCCCACCCCCTCGATTAACCCCCTCCATACTTCAGTTGTTATCTCTGGCTCTCTCCCTCCGCGCTCAACGCAATAGATAGCTTCCTCCCGCCGGCGTACTCGACCCGATCCGACCCGATTAGATCCAGCTCGACACGACACGACACGACACGACACGACGCAGCGTCCAGCCGAGTGAATGCAACCGCTAAACCCCTTCCTGTCTGCCTTCTTCAAGAGCCAGGTCGTTGCGCAGTGCACCCCCGTCCACCACCACATCCTGCTGGTGCCCTTGACCGATGTGCTCCTCACCCACCGCGAGACGGAGAGCGGCGCCCCGGTCCACGAGGTTGTCGCCTCGGACGAGTTTCTAGCCAGCCATGTGCTGCGCATCGCCGGGCCCGACGGGCTGGTTGGCGCCAAGGACAGCTCGCAGAACCTGCGCGAGGCTCGCGGCAAGGCTCGCCAGTTCAACACGCTCAACGGCAGGAGCGTCATTGTCAAGGACTCCTTCATCTACAGCAACAAAGGTGCGTTCGCTCTCGCTTCGCAGGCCCAGGCACGGCTAACCGCGGTGCGACCGCAGGGTTCAAGACGCTTGCGCAAGCCCAGATCCTCAACGACACCACCTGGTACCCGGACGTCTTCGAGCCCCGGCAATGGCTGGTATATTACATCTCCAAGCCCCTTGTCGGAGTGTGGGAGGAGGTCAGGCTGGAGCCCGCCGTCCTCGTCTCCGGCACCAGGAGTCGCGCGGCTACGGAGCAGCAGCAGAAGCGGCAGACCAACGGCGACTCGGCCGACGCCTCCTTGCCGCGGAAGAAGGACATCAGGAGCTTTCACGATCTTCTCAACAACTTTCCCATGATTGCTCGCCAGATGCAGCCCGGGCTGGAGAAGCTGTTTATAGAGTTCTCGACCGTCTTCCAGAAACCGCTGCCGCCACCGCCGTCGGCCGAGTTCATTCCAGATCCGAAGCCAGACGGGCCCGTCACGGCCGCCGCTAGAAGGGCAAGGGCAGATAGCTTGACGGCCAAGAGCGGCAAGGCGACCTTCAACAACAGCCTTCCGGTTGTCGAAGACTTCTTCGAGGAGGACGACGAGGACATCATGCGCGCGTCCCTCGAGAGCGCCGTGACGGCAGCAATCGATATTTTCCAGGGCGTGGATAAGCAACAGCTGTCGCTGCTGGGCGCTACGACCGACCTGACAGGTCCGCTGGTGGAAAAGCTGATTGAGCGCTACATTGCCGAAAACGTCCATGGCCT